GCACTCAACATTACGGACTGTTATGACTGAATGAGTCAGCATATACAATCGTGTAACATGGAAATGTAATCATGTAGATGGGGCAGTATTCACATCTTGGTAAGTTGATAGAATTACATCGCAGCTATTAATCAGTCAGGAACTTAGAGATGTTGAATAAGCCTAACACCGAACATACTCCATGACAGCACATTGCAATTTACGTGATGAACATTCCCAGATCTCTTATTTATTTATTGAATCTAGAAACTTAAATCTAGTGAGAGATTTATTTACGCAGCTTTCTCACTACAAAATAACATATTATTAATTCATAATAAAAAGTCAAAACATATATTAATGTGTGTTCAAAATAATCAACTATGTTTTGTGAGTTTTTAGCTGCCGCCTAACAATGTTAATTTGCGTTAAAAACTGCCCGATCTCAGTCAGATCTATAACCAATTGGTTAATGCAAAACATATGTCCTCCAATGTATAATGTATTATTTGATCCTCACGCTGAATGTGTTATTCCAATATCTGCACACTCAACAATACCGACTGTCATGATTGTGCAAATCAATATATACGATGATGTGACTTCAACGTGAAATCCTATAGACTGGGCAGAAGTCACATCCTGATGAGTCGATAGAATAACATTATGTCAGCTATTCAGTAAATTAGCGTAGATAGGTTGAATTAAGCCAGTTCCAGACACATCTAGCATCAACATATTGCAATGTAGGTAGTGAAGACTTCGAAATCAAAATGATTAACTCCATGTTATGTACACTAATGTAGCACAATAGCTGGAAACGATTGATTGAGCATCAGATTTAAAACATTCATTCATGACTTCTTCGAAATTGAAAGAAAAGTAAAATGGAATGAAAAAACCAAAAATATCGGCTGTTACGATTGGGTGAATCAGCATGTATGATGTTGTGACATCGATGTTCAATCATATAGATTGGGAAGAAGTCACATGCTTATCGGCCGATTGCACTAAATTGTGCCTTTTATTCACTCTCGACTCATCGAATAGTTGACTTACATAACAGGCACAGTGACAGCCTACAGATTCAACACTAATTAAACTACATTAGACTTCAGATCTCAATTATCTCCTTCGTAACTAGGAATTCATGTAGGACATTAGATTTTGGCGTTTTTCGCACATTTGAATGCGAATATATCTTAACAAACGTCTTCTGAATATTATAAAATTATTAATAAAATTTCGGCTTACTGAAACATTTCTCTGGAATGGATTAGTATAATTATTGAATGAGGAAATCCGTAAGTTTTGGCGACGTAGGTGTGTAAATAATAGTAACAGACGTGTGTTTGAATGTGTAGTTGTTTACGTCTGCATAATATTGCAGTGACCAGTCACTGTTGCAAATGTTTTGACGAACTACATTGGTCCTCATATTGTGTAATATAATATTCTATCATCACACTGAATGTGTTATTCAGATATTCGCTCAATCAGCATTGCTCACTGTCTCTGTCAGACCAGTTCCTTTTTATCCGTGCAAGACTGACGATATACAGTAATTTTATAATGCATATCATCATATCATGTTGTTAATTGAATTTGTAGAAACAGTGGTGTATATTTGAAATGATCATACAACAGATGTTTTGATTGTTCAGCGTTCCCGGTTGGCTTTCGACTGTTTCATGTTGAAAATATATTGTTTCACTCTCACTACTTCCGTTTCGCTGCTCACAGTGCCTCCCGAATATATTGTGATGTGTGTACGGTGCGGTGTAACTGAAATCACTTCGGAGAATGCAATGTTAGCAAATTTAATCATCTGATCCTCAAGTCTTCTTCTCCATTATTTCAAATGTTTTTGTGCGGTTTATTCCGTCTGTCTTGAATTACAAACGTTTGTCAGTTTCACATCACGAATTGGTGCATTAAATTAATTCGTTGACAAATATCCACTTATTTTTCTGTGTTCCTCCATCATTAGCTGTGTGATGTCTCCCGATATACATATATGAACTACTTGTCACGGCTTCAATAACATCGGTGCTTTGAGTTTACGAGTGTAGATGAAATATCCATAGAATAGTTTTTTATGATGTATGTTCAGGAAAATTCAGGTGCTGTATTATCGTGAATTCATTGATATTGATCAATTTAACTCGTAATTATATATTTGAATTTTATGTTTTTTCATCGTGATATTCTAAGGCACACCGACCCTCAATCAACTTTTACATTTTAATGATTATACATGGAATGATGAAAAATATTGAATGCTTTCTGCAAGAAGGTATGTTAGAATCACTGTATTGTGAAAACTCTAATGCTTATGGCGTTGTAAATTTTATCAGTAAACTTCGTGTTCTCGATCACCATTATGGTTTCTATTAATTCTATTCTCATGATTGAGTTCCTTGTATCAGAATCATAAACACTGTCATTTATTTCGTACTCAAAACAGGTTTTTTTTATCTTTTCTGTCTTCTCTGAATTTGTCAATCGCTAATCAGTCATAACTCAGTCAGTAGTCCCTTCGGGGCTACTGCCGGTCCCAAGACCGGATAAAGGAGGAGGGTTGGACATGGGGTTGATGACTCCATCCCAACTAAAACTAACTTGCCAAAAAAACGATAACCAGAAAAACTAATTCAAACCATTTTAACTCTGCTCTGGGAGTTGGAAGAAAAATTATGACGAAAGCCGAGTTCCCTCGGAAGTCACGGGGCCGATGCCTCTTCTGACAACCAGAGCAACCATTCTTTTAGGTACATGGAACGTTCATACATTGTGGGAGACTGGAAGACTATTTCAAGTTGCAGCAGACATGAAAAGATACAACCTCGAGGTGCTCGTCATCAGTGAAACGCATTGGACACAAGTAGGACAACTGAGACTAGCTTCAGGGGAACTGCTGTTATACTCTGGTCATGAAGAGAAAAATGCTTCATATACACAATGATTTGCACTGATGCTGTCCAAACATGCACAAAAGGCACTGATAGGATGGGAATCTCATGGACCCAGGATCATTAAAGCATCTTTCAAAACAGAGAAAGCGGACATTACAATGAACGTCGTCCAATATTATGTACCTACCAATGACTACAATAACCACGTTAAAGATCAATTCTACGAAAGGCTGCAGTCAATCGTCCAGAAATGTTCACCAAAGGATTTGACGATTCTTATGGGAGACCTGAATGCCAAGGTTGGCATGGACGACACTGGATATGAAGATATCATGGGACGACATGGACTGGGAGAAAGGAACGAAAACGGTGAGAGATTTGCAAACCTATGTGCCTTCAACAAACTGGTCATCGATGGCACAATATTGCCGCACAAACGCATATACACAGCCACATGAATTTCACCGGATCACACTACTCAAAACCAAATTGATCATATCTGTATCAACGAAACGTTCAGAAGGACCATGGAGGGTGTGAGAACCAAGAGAGGAACTGATATAGCTTCAGGTCACCACTTGCTGATCGCCAAAATGAAACTGAAACTAAAGAAGCACTGAACAACGGGGCAGACAACATCACACACGTTTAATACAGACCTTCTTCGGGATACCGTAAAACTCAACGAATTCAGGATAGCCCTCACCAATAGGTTCCAGGCTTTGCAAAGCATACTCAATGGAGAAGAAACAACCTTGAAGAACAGTTGGAAAGGGATCAGGGAGGCATTCACTTAAACATGTCATGAGGTTCTGGGCCAAAGGAAGTACCATCTCAAGGAATGGATCTCTGTTGATACTCTTGCAAAACTTGAAGAAAGGAGGAGCAAGAAGGCAGCAATCAGTGTCAGCCGAACAAGAGCAGAGAAATTTATGGCACAAGCTGAATACACAGAAGCAAACAGGGAAGTGAAGAAGAGCATCACAGCATACAAACGAAAATATGTGGAAGATCTAGCGATGACGGCGGAAAAGGCTGCAAGAGAAAGAAACTTGAGACAATCGTATGAAACAACAAAGAAGCCCGCCGGAAACTATCATAAACCAGAACGACCAGTGAAAAGCAAGGAAGGCAAAGTAATCAGCAACACTGAAGAACAGCGAAACAGCTAGGTAGAGCACTTTAAGAAACTCCTGAATCGACCAGCTCCACTGACACCACCCAACATCGGAACAGCATCTACGGACCCCCCCAATAAATATTGGTGCACCTACAGTTGAGGAGATCAGTATGGCCATCAGATAAATCAAGGGCGGCAAAGCAGCAGGACCAGACAACATTCCAGCAGAGGCAATGAAAGCAGACGTGGAAGCAACTGCGAAAATATTTCACATCCTCTTCAAGAAGATTTGGGATGAGGAACAAGTACCATCAGATTGGAAAGAAGGATACCTCATCAAAATAAAAAATAAAGGAGATCTCAGAAAGTGTGAGAACTACGGAGGCATCACTCTAGTTTCAATACCAGGCAAAGTTTTCAACAGGGTATTGTTAAACAGAATGAACGACTTCGTAGACGCCCAACTTCGAGATCAACAGGCCGGATTTCGTAAGGATCGATCATGTACTGACCAAATTGCAACATTACGGATCATTGTGGAACAATCAATTGAATGGAACTCACCACTCTACATCAACTTCATCAACTATGAGAAAGCATTCGATAGCGTGGATAGGAAAACACTGTGAAGGCTTCTTCGAAACTGTGGTGTGCCTGAGAAAATAGTTAACATCATACGGAATTCTTATGATGGATTCAACTGCGGTAAAACCTTGAGTATCGTGAATAACATCACTGCTCAATACAACTTATTATTAGAGATATTCCCTACTTAGAACTGTACAACAAAGTATTGATAACTGCACACTATTTTGTTTGTTCGCTTTGAAAACGTTTATTTTGAGTTCTGAAGGTTACTTTTAACTTCAGTGTGATGTCCTGTAAGCGTGTGTTGTTGTATGGTGGCCGTGGGTCTTTGGGATCTGTTTGCGTCAAACACTTTAAGAATAAAGGCTATGTAGGTTTTTTGGTTTCGTGACCTTTAGTGGGTTTGCTCTGTTGATTTCCAAGAGAATTCTGATGCTGATGAAAATATTGTTGTTGGAGTTTCAGAAAATAGTTCTACACAAGAAAAAGCCGTGAAGACGAATCTAGAGACATTACTCAACGGTCAGAAAGTTGATGGGATATTTTGTGTTGCAGGTGGATGGGTTGGTGGAAATGCTGCTGCACATGGTATATAGAAAGTAATTTAACTCGAAAATTTTCAGATTTTCTGGAAAACTGTGACACTATGTGGAAAAAATGTGTTTGGTCCTCGTCTATTGCTGCCTCGTTGGCCTCAAAGTTTCTATTAGCCAGTGGTTTGTCAGTTCTTACTGGTGCACATGCTGCTTTACAGGCTACTCCATGTACTTACACCTTCGGTTTGTCGTTTATTTTTTACGTTTATATCGGAGTTGATAGTTCTAATCTTAATGCTACGAAATTAATGGGTATAATATTAATAGTTATACCTTTTATCACTAAATCTAATTCCAGATAATCTAGAGTAATTTAGACATTTTGATTGTAATTGGGGTTTAATTTGGTTGCTAATCGTTCGTCAAGTATTAGTTGCATATTTTACAGCGTGTAAAAAAATTTGCAAAAGGTAGGTCCTGTTTCACTTACCGCGTAGCTGCTGAGGTTTCCATTGCTTCCTCCTCTGAGTTTCTTAAACAGGATATTTTATAACGGTTATTTAACCTTGTGTATTTAGATGTGCATTACCGAGTGTGGAAGTCATCTTTCATAGCTCTATGATGTAATGTAAAGGTTTCCACTTGGTGCTTTGTAACAGCATCGAAAATACGAAATACAATTTTGACTTCCTCGTTTTCTTTTATTTCATTAACAGTTGCATGTTATTGTAGAACACTTTTAATCCTTTACAATAGGGTTCCTATCAGAGATATATTTGTAATATTCTGTCACAATTGAATGGTTTTCCACCATATTATTTGTGTTATGAGCTGAATTTCTCAGCTGTATCACACTTTAACATGCAAACTTTTATCTAAATACTAGAGTACATATTATGTTCTGTCTACTGACTTTCTGGGTGTTTGCGAGCACTGTTTTTGTGTTCATAAATTACTGTAACTGCCTCTAAACGCCTAAACAAATCATTTGTATAAACGAACCTAGATCGGATTATCTTATGACGTGTGATCACAAATTTCAAATCAACGGAAATTTAGAATTTAAGTAAAGGGACCATCGTTTTACGTTTCCCATTAACACAAGCTAATCTTACAATCCCATAAAACGTCATTCATAATCAAATACATATCATAAACGTCCACGGAAACCAAGTGTTAGTGCAAATTCCCATCATGCTCTAAGGAAAATTCTCTGTTATTACCTTTTTGGTTTATTAGCTAAACGTCATCACAGATAAGACATGTTTTAAAGCAGCATAGACAAAATGGACCTAGTTTTCCAATAACAACGCTGACGTATTATTTATTTCTAATATTAAGTTATGTCCATCACTTGAATACTAAGTTTCAGTACTTGCTATCGGTTTATGCCTGATATGTTTTTGGTTTTTTGCAGCTATGTTAGGGTATGGCATGGCTAAGGCAGCAGTACATCAGCTCACAAAGAGTTTGGCGGGTCAAAACAGTGGGCTTCCGTATGGTTCTTGCGTGCTTGCCATTTCACCGTAAGTTATTGTCGCTTTTATATGATAAAATATATAAAAAGATAGTTCGCCGATTGAGACAAAGATTGTTTTAGTGGTTGTTAAATCCATGTGTATTTCTGGCATGCTTCGCTCGTGGGGTCTGCTAAGTTTCGTTTGCTCATTGTCATTTATTTATAACTACTCGGTATCATGGGTGTTATCCTAAGAAGCATGGTTTAAATATACTTTAGTATACCTTCTTTTTCATTTACAGCACTTTGAAAACAGCCGTACTGCAAATTTAAAAGCGTAATCGATGGGTTTATATTCTGGTTTTTGATAATGCTTTGTACTTATTCCCATAAAATTTTGTTTTCTGTGGTTTAGAAACTAAGAGTTTAGTATACCTTCTTACCAATGAAGTCATCCATTAGTTATTGAAAGTAGACATTTCTAACATGCTATTATGGTTTGCGTACACCAACAGTCATTCTACCATCAAACCTCAGTCACCAACAACATAGAACTTCGTACGTCGATACATCAGTTCAATTTGCCGCACCACATTAGCACAGAGATACAATTGTCACTTCTAATCCTATAATAGTAAAGGTAGTAGAAGTATTAGCCGTAATAGGAAATTTTGGGGTTCGACGATATTATTCAAGAGGTAGAACCTAGTAAAAGAAACTTAAAAAGATAAAGGCGATGAATGTTGTAAATCTCTCTCAATAAACCCAGCTACTCTATTGCTTAATATTCTCTGACAACAATGCACTCAACAAGTCCCCAAATCAGAACACGGTGGACAGGAAAGAGATTATATTCCAAATAGCAAGGTTAAATGGGAGTAAGAAGCAGAAGTGAAGGCGAAATAGGAACCACGTTAATATCTTTATAGTTTTTACATGAGAAGCTTCTGGAATGTAATCCGCGTGATTGACTAGCGCTGACCGGATTAGATTTAGCCAATCAGCGTGCAACTAACAACGCGAGAAGTTTCTAGACTGCTCTCCAAGTATCGACCAGGCGCTGATCTGATAGGAAATTAGCCAGTCAGCGCGCAGCTAACGCAGTCATGCGTTAATCCATCCATGGCCCACTAACAATGAGGAACTCCGAAGGTTAGGATTTGAGAGAACACAAAGAATGAATGCCCCGATCGTAGCTGCTACCTTGACGTGGTGGTAGGGCTTGCCTATCGTGATGACCCAACCGAGCTATACTGGCTGGAACTTATGTTCCTGCAGGTCCTACCATGCCAGGCTGGTCGATTGGAGAACGATGAGATCAAAAGCACCTACCCCAGGTCTGAGGGCGAAGTCGTACTGCTGACTGCAGAGGGGTGTGACAGCAGTAAGGTGTTTCCCTCGGACAACCAGCATCTGCAGCGATGCTGCCTTCTCACAAGGAAGGAAGGGTTAGAAACGGTCTACCCTAAAAATGTCACACTCCCCCTACCTCACGGATTTCCGTCTCCGGCAGTAAGGGTGCCCACTAAGGGCCTTTAAGAACGGAGCTAATCCTCAAAATACCTTTCATAAGAAGGCTGTGCGTGACCGGCCTCAAGCAGTTGTCCATTGAACTCTGCGGTCACGCTCCCAGGTCTCCAAGACCAACACTAATCTATCTTCCTTTTCAGGTCCCTCAAGAAACAACCTTCCATGGTGTGGGCTGCCGGGAAGTGACAACCGCCCTCATACCCGTAACAGCACGAGAGACCAATCTGGTCGAAATCAAATCCTTCCTACACCCACACATACCTCTCTTCTCTCCACAACTAACTCTACTCAGATTCCCTTATCTGACTGCACCGCTAATGCAAACGATGCGAGTTCACGAAACGTCATTCCTGGTCTCTTGAAACCTCATTCTAGTCTACATGTTGTAGCATTTAATGTACGGACATTGTGTCAAATAGGGCAACAGGCATCATTAGCTAGGACTTTAGAATCTCGTGCCATTGATGTATGCTGCGTCTCGGAAACGCGCGTATAGGATCCTAGTAAAGCCATTAACCTGATTCCACCTTATCAAAATAAAGAAGCAACCCGATTTACTCTTCGTGTATCCGGTAGCCCTGATGCCGGTGTAGGCATAGCATTGAGTCGTAGAGCTGAGCAATCTCTCCTTGACTGGATCCCTGTAGATAGTCGCTTGTGCGCTGTCCGACTAAACGGGACAGTAAGGACTCGGAAAGATAGGGACAGTCGCCGTTGCCTCTTCTTCGTATCTGCTTATGCCCCCACTGACTGCAGTGCAGACGAGGTTGAAGATGAGTTTTACAGAAAGCTTTCGGACCTCCTCCAAAAAGCTAGGCGCTCTGATATAGTAATAATGGCTGATGACTTTAATGCTCAAGTAGGTAGACTAAGTGAGCAGGAGAGACACCTAGGTGGATGTTATGGTGTCGCGGCTCAGAGAACAGACAATGGTGACCGTCTGTTGCAAGCATGCTCAGACAACCGCCTATTCTTAGCAAACACTAACTTTAGGCATAAGGAAAAAACATCTGTTGACCTGGCGACCTCCAAAGTCGTCTCAACGTTGGACGCAACTAGATCACATCGCCATCAGCCACCGATGGAGGAGTTCGATATATGACTGTTGCACATGTTTAGATTCAGATCACGCCCTAGTGCGAGCGCGTATTTGTTTGAGGCTTACTGGGCGTAGGAAAGACACCGTAAGAAAGCCTCTTAGGGTTTTACATAATGATAATAAGGCCAAGAATATATTTCAAGAACAACTAGAGAGACAGTTAGGCGACCATGCAAGTAATTCCCATCCGGAAGCAGGATGGAATGATATCAAAAAGTCTGTGGAAACAGCAGTGATATCTGCTAGTAAGGTTGACCATAAGGCTAGAATGAAGCCGTGGATCTCAGTAGCATCCACCTATCTAATGGATGCCCGAAAACTCATCCCACCTGACTCTGATTATGATGAAGAGCGTAGTCAGCTTAGGCGCAGACTTATAAAAAGCCTACGTAACGACCGCGAACAGTGGTGGGTGGCGTAAGCAAAAGCGATGGAAAAGGCAGCGGCGATCGGCAACAGTAGACAACTTTTCCGACTTATCAAGGAAACTGGTATTAGTAATCCTAGTGTGAGACTATCTCGGAAAAGAATGGTCTTATTATCCATTCTCAATCCAGGAGACTGGATCGATGGGCAGAACTTTTTAGGGATCAGTTCAACTGGCCTCGAGCCACTCTTCGGTTACCCACGGTCTCCAGTCATCCTGAATGGCAAGTCGACGTAAGTCCCCCAATTCTTAATGAAGTTGAAAAAGCGTTAGGAAATCTGAAGCGAGGACGAGCTGCAGGTCCTGATAGATTGACCCCTGAGATATGTAAGGATGGTGGTCCAGTTTTAGCAGCTAGGTTGACAGAGATCTTAGGTAGAATCTGGAAACTGTACGTAATCCCATCCGACTGGTCTCAATCACTGATTGTCCCAATCTATAAGAAAGGACAAAAGTCTTCTTGTGACAATCACAGGGGAATAAGTCTAACTAATATAGTTTCTAAAATATTGGCCGCAATAATACTTCGACGCCTAACTAGAGATCGTGAAGAGCAGATTAGAGAAAACCAGGCTGGTTTCAGACCTGGACGTGGTTGTATAGACCACGTCTTCACACTACGACAGGTCCTGTAACATAGACACACATTTAAGCGTCCTACAATAGTTGTTTTCCTGGACCTTAAGGCGGCATTTGACTCTGTGGATCGTGAGGTTCTGTGGCAGTGTCTGTCATTGAAAGGTGTACCAAAGAAGTACATTAACCTTATACAAGCCCTTTACTCGAACACTACAGGTCGAGTGAGGGCTTATGGCGAACTGTCACCGGAATTCTCTACTTCAAGTGGTGTCCGTCAGGGCTGTCCACTCTCTCCATTTTTGTTTAATTTTATCATTGACATGCTGCTAGAAATAACCTTATCCTCGTCTGAATTTGCAGGAGTAGACCTTCTACCAGGTGGCTCGCTTATTGACTTAGAATATGCCGATGACATTGTCCTACTTGGTGAAGATGCTGACAAAATGCAGAGTCTTCTGACTACCCTAAGCAACAATGCAAGCATGTTCGGTATGCGGTTTTCCCCCTCGAAATGCAAAATGTTGCTTCAAGATTGGGTTGCATCGGCACCTGAACTAGTGATAGGGAGTGAAGTAGTCGAGCGTGTAAACCGCTTCACTTATCTTGGGAGTCTCATCAGTGCCGATGACCTGGTGACTGACGAAATCTCAGCTCGGATACAGAAGGCTCGATTGGCTTTTGCCAACCTGCGTCACTTATGGCGTAGGCGTGATATCCGTTCTCTAATCAAAGGACGAGTGTACTGTGCAGCAGTTCGCTCCGTTCTCCTATATGGCTGTGAAACATGACCAGTGAGAGTAGAAGATATTCGTAGGTTACTGGTTTTCGATCATAGATGTCTCCGAAGCATTGCTCGTATACCGTGGGACACCCGAGTGAGCAACGCTGTTATTAGGAATCGGGTGCTAGGTAAGAATGTCAGATTAATAGACGCAGTAGTGACACTTCATCAGTTGAGGTGGTTGGGACATGTGTTGCGTATGCCCAAGCACCGACTGCCTCGTCGAGCTTTGTTTTGTAGTGTAGGAATAGGTTGGAAGAAAGTTAGGGGCGGCCAGACCAAAACATGGCAGAAATCAATGAGGTCATTGACGAGTGGACTTAGCCATGTCGGTAGTTGTCGACTACCTGGTTGGGGTCCGCGAGATGATAATCGATGGTTAGAGACCTTGAATGGCATGCCTCAAAACCGTTTGCAATGGCCCCGGTGCATTTATGCTCTAACGTGACTAATAGCGTTCGAGTAGAGAGCTTGTATAAGGTTAATGTACTTTTTGGTACATCCTTCAATTAAAAATACTGGCAGAAACTCGCAATCAACATATTCAAGCGCCACCTTTACACATGATCTTAGCTCAGAGAGCCGAGAAGCGGTTAAATGCTTCTTAAACGCCACCTTTAAGTCAAAGAATATTACTATTGTCGGACGTCG